GGGGGGAAAGCCCGGGACTGGATTTGAGGCCCCAGGGTGGGACCTGGAGAGTCCGGTGGGGTGGGGACCTTAATGCCGAAGTTCCCCCAGGACATGGACAAAGAGCGGGAGACGCTGCTGGCCTGGAGGGAGCGCATGCGGCAAGAGCTGGACCAGGTCATGGCCTTCTGGACCGAACACTCACACGACCGAGTGCACGGGTGGGCTGCGCCCTTCAGGCCCCCTCAGCCCGCCCAGAACGCCCCCCAGGCCGTCTCTCCTGGGGGCGGGTGAGGGCTGAGTAAACTCCCACCTAACACTGTGGCTCTGCTTCCTGAACAGGGGTTTCCTCACGTGCCTGGGTCAGGATGGGCAAGTGTATGACGACCTCAAGTACGTGTGGCTGCAGGGGAGGCAGGTAGGAGCGCTTACAGGACGTGGTCCTCCCGGCCTGCTGCCCCCACCTGCATGACATAGGCCAGGTGCAGGCCAGCCGAAGACCTTTCCCTCCTGCTGCCCCCATAGGTTTGGATGTACTGTCGCCTGTACCGCAAGATAGAACGTTTCCACCGCCCTGAGCTGCTGGATGCGGCCAAAGCAGGTGGTCACCCATCCCCAGGCTCCCTGAGGCTCTGAGAGGGTTTCAGAACCGGGAAAGGCAGGCCTTGGAAACGCCCAAGGGATGGCTTCCTCCCTGAAGTTGTGCAAATGCCAGGTGGGGACTTTCTGCTTCGCCATGCCCGGGTGACACCTGCAGAGAAGAAATGTGCTTTCGTGCTGACTCGAGATGGCTCCCCAGTCAAGGTGCAGCGCACCATCTTCAGCGAGTGTTTTTACACCATGGCCATGGACGAGCTATGGCGGGCCACAGGGGACACCTGCTACCGGGTAGGGGACACTCCTCTTGGCACTTCCTACTCCTTGACCATGCTGTATTGTCATCCAATGTAGAGGGTGTCTCCCCTTCTCTGAGCCCCCCCTAAGTCCCCGGCTGGCCCCACAGCCCCCCACTCCCGCAGGGGGCCTCTCCTTCTTGAGGTGGGAGAGAACAGGCCAGGAAGGGACAGGTGTTCCCTCAGCCTGGCCTATCCCTTCCTCCTGCCAGAGGGAGGCGCTGGCGATGATGGAGCAGCTGACCCACTGGGTACGGGAAGACCCTTCGGGGCTGGGGAGACCGCAGCTACCGGGGGCCACCAGGGCTGAGCCCCTGGCAGTACCCATGATGCTGCTCTGCCTGGTGGAGCAGTTCTCGGAGGCTGATGCTGAGCTGGCCACCAGATACGCAGAGCTGGGGGACTGGTGTGTCCATCGGATTCTACAGCATGTCCAGGTGGGGGCCAGGGCGGCTCTTCCCCCATTCACCCTGCACCGCCTCTGTCTGCCTGCCCTGGGGGCTGGGAGGCTGAAGGTGGAGAGCTTGAATGGGAACTGTGGCTCAGCCCCTCCTCAGATCCTGCCCACCAGTACAACTGGGAGGGAGGGGTGCTTGAGATATGAGGCTGAGGCCGGACTCCCCCACCCACCCCTACTCTCGCCTGAAGCGGGAGGGGACGGCTGTGCTGGAGAACGTGGCTGAGGATGGCGGGGAACTGGCCGGCTGTTTGGGAAGACAACAGAACCCTGGTAAGAGACCAAGTGGAGTGGGGCGAGAAGAGGGACTGCCCTCCAAGGCCCCTCGAAAAACACGGCCCCGGCCTCCCCTCACCAGGCCACGCAATGGAAGCCGGCTGGTTCCTGCTTTCTTATGCCAGCCGGAAAGGTGATTCCAAGCTGCAAGCCCACATCATTGAGAAGTTCCTGCTGCTGCCCTTCCACTCAGGATGGGATCCTGAGCATGGAGGCCTCTTCTACTTCCAGGATGCCGATGGCCTCTGCCCCACCCAGGTGGGATAGCTGCCAGGGCCACCCTAGAGCTGAGCAGCAGGACTGGGCTTGTGCAACAACCACGCCCCCACCGACTACCCCCCACCCACCCACCCAGGGCCAAGCCTAGCCTCTGCGGTGGGTGGGCGAGATGCTCCCTTTCACATGCAGGTGGACTCAGTGTAGGAGTGGCCAGGGGCTGTGGACACTCAGGACCCCACACTAAGGGCCAGAAGGCCCCCCTCAGGGTGTCTGAGGGCTGAGCCTCTCCTGCAGGCTGTAGAAGGGGCCTTCCTTCCTCTTCCAGCTTCAGGCAGCCGCCGGCAAGCCTTAGCTAATGGCTGCACCCCGCCAACCTCTGCCTCTGCCTGTGGAATTTGGCTCGTCTCTTCTCACCATCTAAGGATGCCACTGGGATTAGATTAGGGCCTAGCCACTTCAGTAGCTAATTACATCTGCCAAGACACTATTTCCAAACCAGGTGCCAGGGGATTGGGACACCCACTAGCTTTGGGGAACACAGGTCCAACCAGGAGAGGGGAGCTGGGTGGGGCCAATGAACAGCCACACAGCACTTCCATTCATGGACTTGAGACCCTTTTTTGTTCTTCTGGAAGGGACTACATGGGACACTATGCCTGCTCAGGAAGCCACTCCTGAAAGACATGTGATCAAATGACAAGTACCTGGGCTGGGGCGGGGCGGGGCTCTGAGCCAAGGCTCTGTTCTGCTCACAGCTGGAGTGGGCCATGAAGCTCTGGTGGCCTCACAGTGAAGCCATGATCGCCTTCCTCATGGGCTACAGTGCCACTGGAGACCCTGCCTTGCTGCGCCTCTTCTGTCAGGTCGCCGAGTACACCTTCCGCCAGGTGAGCCGAGGAGACTAGGAGGCAGCTGGGGCCAGGGGTTCTCATGTTTCATCATGGAAGATGTTCGAGGAGTGCCTTCCTGGGGTGGGGGAGAAGCCAGGTCAACCTGCAGCACCCAGGCTGTGAATGAAGTCTCAGGAGGGTGATGGTGGTGGTGGTGGGTTCTAGGACAGAGGGCATGGCAAGGGCAAGCCCAATGGTAGGAGTGCCTGCAACAAAGTAGGGGAACCCTGCAAAGGAGCGGGACTGAGTGGTGTCACCTGGTCTGACCTCCAGCCACAGTTAATTAGTCAGCACTGGACAGGGCTTGCAAGCAGGTCCTTCTGACCCACCCCCTGCTGAAAGCCCCTAACAGGCAGAATCTGAAGCTATTTCTTATCTCACCTGGGTCTGGGAAAAAGGTGGATTCTGAGCTGTCTGCCTGGGGTAGGACTGGAAGGTGCCCAGAGGCCAGGTGTGGGCAGGGTAGGGCTCAGAGGCGGGACCTTCCTCTCAATGCAGGACAATCTCAAGATCCCAAACAATCTTATCTCCATAAAACCCTGATTCCCAAATAAAGTCACCTTTGGAGGTCTTGGGCAGATGCGACCTTTAGGAACACTCCAGTCTAATGGGGGTGGAGTGGGATGTTGGGGGGGGGGGCGCGTTGCTGGCTTCTGAGACACTAGATGAGAGGGAGGCAGAGGAAGGAGGCACTGGTCAGTTTGCGGTTGGGGGGAGGGGATCCCCGCAGCCTGCCTGGTTCCTGGGAGAGGTCTGAGAGTGTCACAGGGCTAGAAAGGCTCCTGCGAGGCCCAAGGGCAGTGAGCTGAGCCCCCGAGAAGAGCAGAGCCATGGGAAGGCCCAGCCGAGCGGGAAGCAGTGAGGACTTTCCAGAAGTCAAAGGGGCAGGCAGGGTGAGGAGATAGTGCTATTGTCACCTCAGTAGGTCAGGGTCTAGATAGCATTTTCTCCCTGACACATGGACTCAGTGTCTTCACAGCAGCACTCCCAGGGGGTCTGTCCTGTGGCAGTTAAGAGTTGTGCCCGATCAGCAATGCTCTCCGAAGTGGTGAAAAGGCCCACGGTCATAGCTCAATACTGATACAATAACAAAGAGCACGTCCTAGAGAGACTGCATGCAATGTAAGGCAGACCTTTGAATGAGCTGGAGATGGTACGAAGCCATTGGAAGTGCTGTAATTGTCAGGTAATTGACTACAACAGTGGGATCCACAAAGCTGACTTGATTGCCTGGGGTGAGAAGGGTTCCGCTCTGACACAGAAATGAAGGCCCTAAAATATGATCCTGAACAAAAGAATGAGTAACATAAGCATAATTAATAGGTAGAACTTCATTCCCTTCAGAGAATACATGGGCTTTCGTGGGCAGTTTTTAAAGACCTTCTGCTGTTTCAATGTGATTGGTTTCCCCTGTGATCTTTCTAAAATTGAGTCCTGATGGCATCGCAGTTAAAATGTTCAGCTGTGAAACAAAATGCCAGTAGTTACAGCTGTCTAGCCATTCTGCAGGACAAAGCTGTGCCTCTTTAAAGGCAGTGGGCAGTTCCGATGCTGTCCGAGTGGGTCACTAACAGTTGGGATGAGGTGGGTTTGCATTTTTGTTGGGTGGAGTTTTGGCGGTCTTTCTGACAAGGGTTGAAGACCTGGCACGTACGTAGTTCACGCTGGTAAGTCGGAGAAACTGATGGATGGGAGAGGCCCAGCCCACAAGCCAGGTGCCCGGTGGGATGTGGGCAAAGGCAGGTGGCCTGAACCGCCTGAGCTGCCGTCCCCCACTTATGAAATTCTGTCGCAGGTGTCTCCATCAGGGTTTATTTCACTGATGTATGAGTGACATACACTAAACTGGGCCCACTACACAAATCCAACGGCGCGTGTACACCCGAGTAACCATCACTCGGTTCCCATCTTGCCCCTCACTTCCATATTTGCCAAAAGCCGACTTTGCACGACACTCTCGGGCCTCAGCCCAGTCCTGAACCTGCCCTGCTGTTGGGGCCAGTGGTGACGGAGGCAACTGCTCTTATTGTGTCATTTCCTTCCAGTTCCGTGACCCCAAATACGGAGAATGGTTTGGCTACCTGAACCGAGAAGGGAAGGTGGCCCTCACGATTAAGGGGGGTCCTTTTAAAGGTGAGTAGGGTGAGGCTGGGGGTGCTAGATGGGGCCCCTTGCGCCTCCGCCAAACCGGTCGGCTGCCTCTCCCGGCAGGCTGCTTCCACGTGCCGCGGTGCCTGGCCATGTGCGAGGAGATGCTGGATGCTCTGCTGAACCGCGCCAGCCCAGCCCCCAGGGTTCCGGTCCAGGACCCGACCACCGAACCCGCCCGCTGAGGCACGCAATAAAGCTCCGCCTACGCTACCTGTGCGTGCATGCGCCTCCGGGGGCCCGCGGGAGGGTGGGAGGCCCGCAGTCACCTGCTCGCCGGGCTGGGACCAGCCCGCTGCCGAGAACTCGTCACACGTTGGCACGCCTGGAGCCTCGCTCATTGGTCCGCCCTGCGGGTACGAACGCTCCTCGAATTGGCTCTCTGCGCGCCAGGCCGACCCAGCACTGGCTAACCCCGCGTATTGGTCAAGCGGCCGCCAAGGCGGGTCTAGTGGCAGCGCGCTTCCTGCCGGTGGCCAGCCCAGCGCGCATTGCCTCTTCCGCTGGCCCGCCTGGCCGCACCGGTGGCTCATCGAGGCGCGGCGGCCACCGACCGGGCGCCCACGACCCCCTGGGGCCCGCGACTCGTTCCCAGCCCCCCGCCGCCGCCATGAACATCCGCAATGCGAGGCCCGAGGACCTGATGAACATGCAGCACTGCAACCTGCTGTGCCTCCCGGAGAACGACCAGATGAAGTACTACTTCTACCCCGGCCTCTCTTGGCCCCAGCTCTCTTACATCGCGGAGGACGAGAATGGG